CAATTCCGACCGTTCCTGTTATACCTAATACCGTATTTTATCAAAGATAATGCACGCCCCTACATTGAATAGACACCCGTATTGTCACCCGTGGTCGCGCGAAAATGTCCGCTAAAGCGCACGAAAACGGCTTATAAATTGTTTCCTGGCTATTGCAGAGGATCGACGAAAGTTTTGAAAAATGGATTCTCGATAAACGAAAGCTATTTGTTGCCTTAAACAAGCGTATTACTCGTATTAATAGCGCCGTCATATCCGGTTATTGATGAAAATGCATCTTTTTCATTTCTTTTACACTATAAATAGAAAGACATGATCGTAATAAAAGCAAAATAGATATTTTTTTATTGTCAAATTCCTAGAATTGTTTTATTTTCTCGAATAAGATTCTTGATTTTTTGTTTTTTTTTTCGACAATATTTAACGATATACTATTAATGATCGATTTATTAAAAACCATCAATGGATCGTTAAAAAAAGAATATTCTGAAGAAACTATGACTATGACAATATCTCAAAAAAAATTGTTCTCAAAGAATTAAATAATAGAGTAGGATCTACGAATAAAATAAAGTAAATATTTTTTTATTTTATTTATCAAATAAAATACTGTAAAATATTCAAATAAAACAGAGCCTGTGTACGAAGTCAAAGTAGGTGCTTTTATAAAAAAAAGCAAGTGTTGTAAGTTATGCATGTAAAATGTAAGTAAAAAGAAATATCTCTATCTGCAAGAATAATAAAATATGTTTTTTTTTCACTCCATAATAATGTGTTGGACAAAAATTATAAGTAGGTATATTACGTACATGTATATGTATAAGATTTGCGAATTATAATTCTGTAAACGCATTCTATATGGCTATGTTATGAATATCTATTATCACATCGATGAGGAAAGATGCTTTGTAAAGCGAAAGATTATTCATGAGAAACATAGGATGAACTCTTGCTTTTCTTGTGTCTATCGCTGCTAAAAGCATGCAATTTCCTTCGTATATTTATATATGATACGTTAACAGAGTTAGCATAAAATTTCATATAGAGTCATGCATCAAATTAATAGAGTTCATTTTAGTGTCATTAATTACGACCAGACAGAAAAATTAAAGTGAGTCCCGGTTTATAATAATTAAAGATTCGCATGAATGAAAACAATAACTTTGTACGGATATCAAACTTATATATCAAAGTTTTTAGGGAGAGCTAAAGAATAATTAAAAAATAATGTATGCTATAATAACTTAATCACTTTAATTTAAAAAATTTGGAAATTCTCTCTCTCTTTCTCTCTCTCCAGTATCTTATTTCAAACGCATATCGATATAATGAAAAAGGCATCCGTCGTCGAACAAATGTACATATCTAATTTAGAAACATGAGGAAGTATGTCGAGCAACGTTAATAACGAGTAAGAGAGAGTGTCGAGTTACGAGGGGGTTGCGCTGCTGCTTCCAGGTGCGCGAAGGGTGGATGGGCGGATGAAGAGCCTTCGTCAGCAATAAGCGCGATCACGTATACAACGGTCGTACAAGCGCGCTAACCAGCAAGCCAGCAAGGCAAGGTGGGATATCAGCAAGCGACGAAACAAAGTTTATTTTGAATCAGCCACGGTAACCCTGGAGTCGCACTATGCCGGCGAATAGCACCACGAGTACCACAGCAGATTCGACGCTCCTACCGCAGAGCTCCGGTTCTCAACAACGGCTCAACGGACACAGACAGACAGAAGCTGGAAGCTAGCGCGACCCAGAGAGGTGAACCGGGAAAAGGAAGCAAACATAGAAGCAAAGCGAAGCAAGCGATAGACGAGAGATGAGAACGAGGACGGGGAGAGGATAGGTACGCGAAGGATGGTCTAGCCGACGATGGTGATTGTTACGGCGACGACGTTTCAGTTAGCTGAAACGTCGTTTCCTTTGACGCGTCTGTGTGAGGAAGGAACTTGTCCTCGATGAGGTGTACAGACGTGCACGCGTACACCAGCGCGGACGACGCCGCGCGTAACCATTGCCACGTAGCTGTACATACAAACAGCCGCACACGTGCGCGACCGACGCTACACACGACCGAGGAGGGATTCGAGGGATACACAAACACCGGGTTCCTGAGGCTTCCTTGGTATACGCTATTTCAGGAAGGGTGGTTGGATGTATCTGCTTGCCCGCGCGCGGTATTCGTCGTGCAAACTTCGAGCTCTTGCATGGGCGCTCCTTCTAAGACTTCGCCCGTAGTTGGGCTGTATAGCGGCAGAGAAGCGTAGAGATCTCGATTCGGGTTAATTGTGGGCTTCGTTCTATAGACTTGGTACTCGGGCAATGAATTTTAGGAGGCGCGCGCACGATATCGCCTCGTCTCGCCTCGCTTCGCCTCGCCGCGCCACCGACGCGACGCCGAGGAGGCGAGAGGTCGGACGGGAGCGAGCACCGACAAGCGGATATATTTATGCGCGCTCGTGGAAATTCTTCGATCTGATTGCGAGCGCAATTGCCAGGGGAATGAAAACGTCTGCATTTAGTGAAGTACTGTTTTCAACGCGCTACAAATAAGACCGCAGTTGTTCGTAGCAGCGGTGTATATTTTACTTTTGAAAAGCAAATATATCTAGGTAATTAAAAGAGCACAACTTTAAAAAGTAAAAGTTCATAGATTTTATAATTAAAGAGACTTGAGGATAATATCGAAACATATGCAAATATACAATGCTTTTCGCATTTTTTATATTTTAAGTTATATATTAAGTTAATTTAAATATTAAATTATGACATATGTGGAAAAAAATTTCATTTAAAAAAATTATTACATAATTTTTAAAAACGTTGACAAATTATATCAAATTTTCTTATTTACAAAAGAAACTTAAAACGAAAAAGTTAGTTCTAAAATTATTCTTCCTGCCTTTCACATCGTACACCGTATTTGTAAATATAATTTTTGTCAATTTATTCGTTTGCACGGTATGCAAGACTGCGTTTATATTTTAATATGTGGATTGAAAAAAATATTGAATATTTATATTAAGAAATTGTTAACAGTATACTACAGAATAAAAATATCTGTAAGAGGTTCGAATTGTTTTCAACCTATTGATAGAAAGATAGAGTTCATGCGCTAGTTTATTATGCTGGATAAAAATAAATATTTACATTAACTAAAATGTAATGCCCAAAAACATAATATAATGACTTGTAAAAGATCTTAAAACTAAAGACACTTAAACATAGACTTTAAAATTCCAGATTTAACAAAAATATTTCTATTTATCTTATTTCTAACTTATATATAAGTTGTAACTTCTCTTTAGAGATATCAGAAAACTATAGTAAATCGGATTTTTATCTCACTTACACCCATTTACAAAAACGAGTTTCGGGCAGAAATTAACTGTTCTTTAAAAAATTGTTCTGTCTACATCATACTTCATCCAATAATAAAATTTCCATAAAATTATCCATTAACACACTTGATACATTAATTTAAAGTATTTGTATATTTTATCACATTATAACTATACAAATTAAAAAAAAAAAGATTAAAAACAAGATGTTATAACATGACTTGCAAAAACTATAATGTATTCTGCTTCTGCATTCAAATTAAAACTTAACGTTCATGATTATCACCATAAATTATTAATTCTACAACTTTCAAAAACGCACTTCGTCCGAAAATATCGATAATGTCGATTTCCATGCGAAATTATTAGCACGTCCGACATCGATCCCTACAATTTGGCACGATTTAAGGTACCAGGCAGGAATCGGCGAATCCGCTTGCATGAGAAATAAGGGTCGTGGTTCCACCCGATGCCTTCCGTGCAGTTTCACGCCGATACGCATTACTTCGCAAAGATTTGTAAGCGGTCGCGAGCGTGCCAAATGCTGTGGTGTGCGCCGCGGGAGAACGAAAGCGGAAGGAAGGGAGGAAAAGACGTTCTATTCCAGGGTGGAATAGGGGTTAATACGGACGATTTCTGTGTTCAGGATGAAGGAACAAGCTGCACGTATATAGCCAGCTTATAGACGCGCGGAATCGTCCACGGAGTTTATCGTCCGTTTAATAAAAAGGAGATAGGAGGTGGGAGAATGAAAAACGTAACGTTCGTGCCATCCTTTCCAATGCGTCGATTTCTCCTCTATCTCCTTCGATAAATCGATCTCGAAACGAAACCTTTCCCCAGATTATATGCCCGACGACATCGTATATCTGCTAGATATTATAGCTTTAATACAAGGATTCAGTGACGCCATTAGAGATTGGTAAAACGCGCCGTCCAATTCAAACATTATGTTTTCAGAGTCAAGATAAGAAGGGATACTTTTAAAACGAGAATAGAACGCGTACTTTATCGTATTAAAAAAAAATACGGAAGATAGAAACAGATCGATCGAAGTATATTTTTCTTTGGCACGGCGTCATTAAAGAGCGAGTAACAAACTCGTTAGAAAACAAATCGTACGCAGGTCGGAGGCTAACAATCAATGTAAGTACATAACTACTCGTACGGCCGAGTTCTTCCGCGGCAGCAACAACAGCAACAGTAGCAACTACGCTGTTCTTATAGTTTTGCAAAAACGTGAAAAACGAGAAGTTAACAAAAAAAAAAAGGGGGAAAAAACAAAAGTCAGCAGTCTGATCCCGTGTGCGCGCCCAGAGCGCTCTTTGCTTCAAAATACACGACATTGATCCGACTACGCGACCGAGTCCGAGCTTTTGAACAATGGATTCGAATCACCATCCTTGGCGAGTGTAACAGAAAGATATTCGAGTGCGTACCGAGTGCGTATCGAGTGCGTTGTTGCTGGAGTACAGGGAGGGTATGATTTCGCGGAACCGGAGAATCCGCGCTCTTTTTCCCTTTCGGTATGAGAAAACTTTTCGCACCGCTTTATCCGTGTCTGTTCCTTTGTGCGATCTCTATGGCTTGGCTCTCTTCTCGTCAATGATAACGACGGAAGAGACGTCTCTCATTCTCTCACTCTTCTCTCTCTCTCTCTCTCTCTCTCTCTCTCTCTCTCTCTCTCTCTCTCTCTCTCTCTCATTCATTCTTTCTTTCACAACAAGGATCGCAAATCTTCAGAAGCGGGCTGTACAAGCACTTATAGATGTATACGTGCAATCGACTTCAAAGTCCTGTCTCTTCCCTTCTTTTCTCGCTGTCACTCTTGGAACAAATCCCTTCTGTTCATTACTCGTCAAATGTCAAATTGAGCGTCGTAATAGTAATCGGACGCGACTAATTGGCTATGCTACTTCGATTCTCCGTGCCGTAAAGCGCGTGGCAGTGGATCTCCTAACAGCGGATTTGGCTACGGTGATCCTTTATCCGATTATCTATCTCTCCATCGGTCACGATCCAGGGATCGTTAACTGGTATCGCCGCTCCTCTCTTACTCAGTTCGTATATCACCGAAAAGACAAACGAGAAACAATCCGTGCATACCGGCGTGTCTTACAAAATAACGATACTATATAAAAGGGAGGTGGTAAAATATGTAACGATAACACGATCGACGATTTCGCGGTCGATAAATGTGTCACATTAAACGCGTCGTGTCCTTTTTGATTCAGGGACGTCAGAGTGTGGCGAAATGATTCTAATTATTATGGCAATGCTGCATCAGAAAATGATTCACCAGTTGAAAATTAACATCGCGCTGCTATTAACGATTGCACACGGGGAACATGTAGAATTTATGATCCTGACCCGTTCAGAAAAAAAAAAATTTAATCCACCAGAAAAAAAAGAAAACACTTAATAATCATATATGGTTTAACAATATTATTTGTTTCTGCGCCGTCCATACGCGGTCCTTAAACCCTGCCTCCATCGTCTTTTCATCCAGCCCTTTCTCCCGCTGACTAGTGTGCTATTTATCATGCGACGCCCGTGAGCTCCCTTTTCGTGGTCTCAGGCGTGCCGTGACTATCTCAGAAGCAGATGGAGCGTGCCCAGGCAGAGTATTGTCACAAATGTCATCGTATGCGTGCCGCTTCCGTTTTCTGAGGTTACTGCAACACATGTTAAAAAGAAAAGTTATCATTTCTCGTTATTTTGTCAAATGGCAAGAACGTATAGTTTCTGGAATGTTAACTACTATACTGTCCGGCACTGATTTTATCTTTGACTTGCAAAGTATCGTTTCCAGAGATTTTTTGATACTGAAAACGATACTGTCCAAAAAATATCACGTCACATTTTCGAGAAAACTGGAATAAGCAAAAAAATGACGATTTTGATCATATTTCAACTGGTATTGCAGATAAAGAAATTTTATTTTTTAATTTGTCTACGCTATTTTTAAAGTGCTATTTTTTATCCTTAATTTTTTTTAAGGCCAAGTTACTGGTTAAAGTGAGGCATATTATATATACCTAGTAAATGTCATATCTTAGTTTAGGCGCATTTTAATTTTTGTGATTATATAATTTGTGTTTCTTGACTTGAAAGTAATAAAAAAATTAAATAAAAAAGAATATAAAAAAAAGAGCGTAACAAAGATCGCCTCCAAAAACGTGACTGAATGATTTATAGGGACTGTCACGCTAACTTCGGAATATCAAGTTCAAGAAATATAAATTATGTAATCACAAAAATAAAAGTATGCGCGAACTAAGAATGACATTACAGCTATACATGATAGCCCATATTTAGATCGCGTGTTTATCGATAAATAACATGCTTTTATGTCTGAAATTTTATAATATACGTGATCTATATGCTAAATATGCGCGCTAACATTATAAAACGTTTTGAATAAGAGTTGATATGCTTAACTTTAAACCCACGTAACTTAGTCTTAAAAAATCGTACAGAAATAAAAAAAAATGATTTTAAAGATAAAACCACTTTTGATAGTGAAGACGAAATTAAAAAAATTAAAATAATTTATTTTTTATTCGCAATGCTATTCTAAATATCAAAATTATTTTCGGCCCGCGTTACCTTATTTTCTTAAAAATATAATGTATTGTAATAGAATTTTTAAAGTGCGGATTCAAATTAAGCGACCAAATATTTTCAATAACATTTCACAAGTCAAAAATAAAAACCCAAATTTTAACAGTGTTATACAATAATTTTTAACAGAGTGCAAATAAAATTATTACACAATCAAAATATTTAAAAATCAGGCTGCTCCTCGCCCTGATGAAATAAACTGCAAGGTTCACGAAACGTTGACATTCCAAGAATGGATCTGGACACGGAAAAAACTCGCGAAACGCATAATCTTTATTTAGGAAGCATCCGTGGAAGATATATAATCAAAATATTTATATTATATTAAAGTAAAAGTATTAATACAAATAGCGATTTTATATCAGAGAAATATTTATATAACATAAATAGATTCACAAATTTTTAAAATATCTACTGAAATTTTGTTGTGATATTGCAGCTTTTTTAAACATATAAATATTAGAAAAACGATATTCTATTTTATTGATAATAATATCTAAAAAAATTATAAGTTGTGCAATGTAGTTGCACTAAAAAATAAAATTTTTTAACACCATAGCGAGAAATAAAATAATATCTTGAAATAAAAGTTAAAAAAGTTAATCCAATAAATTATTGCTTTTTTATACTTTCCCAAAGTTTGCCTATAATAATCTAAAATTAAAATTATGCATTGAAAATAGATTATGATTTTTATTATTCATCATATTGTAAAAAAAGATCCAATAAAAAAGGAAAAGCTTTTCCAAGTTGAACATTTCACCGCAAACTCTATGTTGCATTCGAATTTCTAGTATCTTTGCAGTGCAAAATTTATATGCGCTACGTGTTCTCTATTTGCACGGAACGATGGCACGTGTGTCGTCCTCGTTGAAACTTAATTCTTTTTTTTTTTTGCGAAAAGCTTTTTTGTGTTAATGATATACACGAAAATTCACACGTATATTGTAAAAAGTGAGATAGATGAGTCGAATGATGGTGCCTGGCATGACCGGATTATTGATTGGTAAACACGGTCTGCATTACATTTCGTATCATTAAAACGTCATCATTATGCTGCGCGACATTCAAAATCGACAAGCCTACAATCAATAACAGCGACGATAATGACACGTGTCTCCGTTCGACGAAATGCGCAGGAAATCTGATGAATAGATATCAAATCATCGAGAAATGTGTCGCCGATAATCAGTTGATTTTAGTTCGGTTTATACATTATCGGTATATCATGAAGTTAATCCAATAAATTATTGCTTTTTTATACTTTCCCAAAGTTTGCCTATAATAATCTAAAATTAAAATTATGCATTGAAAATAGATTATGATTTTTATTATTCATCATATTGTAAAAAAAGATCCAATAAAAAAGGAAAAGCTTTTCCAAGTTGAACATTTCACCGCAAACTCTATGTTGCATTCGAATTTCTAGTATCTTTGCAGTGCAAAATTTATATAACACGCGTGAAAACTAAGTACATGTAGACGTTCAACATTCTAATGTAGACACGTTGACAGATATGCTACGCATGAATATTATTGTAATTCAAAGTGTAGCTACCGTAACATATCAGTATATTTTACATGATAATATAACAATACTACACTTAATCTACTTGCTTTCTATATATGTAATTAATAGATGGTTGTTCAAAAAATTCTAGAATATAAATACCTAAATGTGATTTAAAATGTGATTAAAGAAAAAATAAATTGGAAAAAGAAAAATATAACAAAATTTTGGAAAAATTCAAATAATTATTATTATACTTTTAATATACTTAACAAATTTATATATTCCAAGTTTTGCTATAAAATTTAAGATTTTTAACAGTAATCGAAGTTGTCGAGAATCAAATTCTACAGGGTCCGGCAAAATGATCTCCCACATTTTTAAATTATTAAAGATTAAAATGTGGGAGATCATTTTGCCGGACTCTGTATTACCTATAAATTTGCAAGGGATTCAAATAAATGTAATTTTTATTTCACATTAGTCTCTAGGAGTAATTTAGGAACAATCACAAGATTTGGAAAAGGATCGCGCTTTTGTTTCTTCCTTAATTCGAACCAGATAATAGATTATATTTAAAATAGATTAAAATGATATGTATATAAAATATATGTATGCAAGGATTATTGGGGAGCGATTTCGCGTAAAATGACATTTTTCTTTCTGTTCGAGATTAAATCTCTCTGACGGGGCGCGGCGTGTCAACTGTTGAAATCCCTTTTGGAATGGAAACTCTGACGATGAGGAAGAAGGGTGGTGCCATTAAGTGGAACGTCAGTGGATTTTCCTCCGCGGGGCATTGTTCCTTCTGTCGGATAGAAAAGTCAATTTCCTAAAAACAATTCTGTCGACCACGGCCCAGGGAGTAATACGTACGAATCAAGCGACCAGCCGCCCGCGGAAAACCGGGTGTGAACAAAATGAAATTACTACGGGTGCAGAAGAGAACGAATTTCTGTAACGGCGGCAACGTTGGTACGCGGCGGGCGGTAAAGGGGACTAAAGTGGAATATAGCCCCGACAGGTTTGAAAATTGAGAAGAGTCAAAATCCTTTGGTCGCTTATCAATCGTCGAGGTTTACGGTATGTTCCTCCAGTCTGCTCCTATTACATTTATCTCAAAATGTACGAGAGTTTTGCCAACGATGACGAAATCGCGAACGCTCCGGATCCTAGATAGCGATCGTTGATATTACTTTTGGAATATTCCACTCGAACATAAAAAAAAACATATAATCTGATCATCTCTGACGGTTGATATCGCATGCAATGCCATACGCAATACTTTTTTATGCATATTTAAATATCCTACGAAATTCTGATATACCAGAATATTCTGTGGACACCGAAATGTTCCTCTCAACTGCAGGCTGTTTGACCATTTTAAAGTTGATTTTCCATTCCGTTCCAAGTTTGCTAAAGAATTTATAATCGGGAAAATCCGATGTGAAGACGTAATACACACTTTCTCTTTGTATTAATTTTGCGCGAATACGATTGCATAAAATAAATGTAGAATAGACTTATACAGAATTGCTCCAGATACATATAATATTTATATAAAATATGCGTGCAGAATAAACTGTCCGACGGCGAGCGAAACCGAGAGGAAAACTTTCGCAAAACCTCGGAGTTAGATTTTTCAGATGCATGCATAAATGTGACGTGTGCGTAAGAACAGCTTATGAGATATCATTCATGGATTTTCGGTAAGAGCCTTTTGAGAGGGATTGAAAGACTCATTCGCCACGACCTGAAAAGTCTAGGCCGCGACGAAATTCAAAGGGTTCTTGATGTAAAAACTCTTCAGGCAACTTCATGAGCCGGTGCTCGTAAGTTCGTGACACGAGTCTTCAGAAAGTTTCGGGGAAACGATTTACTTAGAGTACAACTGAGGTGCGTTTCAGTTGTATACATACTTTATCACTGGTATACATGAAAATCTCGGCGCAATGCAGCGGCAAAATTGCCAAAAGTTATTCTTGTAAGATGCATACGGTAAGGAGCGAAATTTCTTCTCGTTATACTGTGAGCTCGCTCGTTATAACATACGTTTATCCAATTATGAGATGATTAGTATAATAATAATAATAATAATAAACACACATGTTAAAATGTATCCTTAAATTGTTCGTGTTTCAAGATAATGAATAATGTACTTAATTAAATTAAATCTTTTTACATTATTAATTTATTCTATTAGTAGTATAAGTAAAATTTTAATCCTACTTTAATTCATATCAAAAAATAACATACAAAGAGCATCGTGCAGTAGAATAAAGAATAATATATATGTATACTCATATTACATGTATAAAGAAAATACAAAATTATTACATTATTTATATAGAAAACATTTTGATACTTGCGCAACGCACATATTTCAAATAAATTATTTTCGTAAAGAATAAGCTCTAATCGAAAAGTTCTCACTTTCCATATCTTATAGCAATCCATTTATTTTCCGGCGTTCGAAACTAATCGGATATTCACAAGTAATCAGAAACTCAGTAAAGTTCGACATAAACCAATAAATTTCAG